GGCAATATTGCTTAGTCACTATTACCAATACTCTGCGCGTCTGATATAAGCGCCCCCAGGAAATTTAATATATAGGATAGGATACAGAAACTTACTCGTGCGTAACAAAACAGATCTATAGATTATTTCTGGGTCACAAAAATGACACTGCTCCTGACCAGGATTGAACTGGTGACCCTTGCATAAAATGCTTGGGGAAGATAGACACCCATATAAGTACAATGCTCTAACCAGCTGAGCTACAGGAGCTGCATTAAATTAAGAGAATAGCAAATCACAACCTCGGAACCGGTCCGAATTATTCACTCAAGTTCAAAGTCGTTCTATGTCGTCACCGTCTTCTTCATTAACAACCAGCCTCAACCAGCCTGAGCTTAGCTCTTCAGCGTTGTTTTTATAGTTTTTGATTGACCTTGATAGCAAACTTTCTGGTGCTGAGATACTATCGGTCTGGACTGGACCTGCATGTTGTGACAGGTGAGCGCTGTTATTTATTTGGATTCACGATATGCATGCTCATGCATGTGTAACATAAATTCTGGAACTTGTGTCCTTTCTACCACAGTGATCATGTATCTTACTGACAAGATTCGTCTTGCATTTGCCCGGACAACGGGCTTCCTCACAATCCCTGTCACCATTCTTCTAGTCCTTGTTTACCTCGCAGTCGCGCTTTCAACACTCATCACTGATCAATTACCCTCAGTTCCTTCCGCATCTACTTTGCATTCGCACTACGGAGCTTTGAATGTCACAGAAGCCTACAAGGACCTGCAAATAATCGCTGCACGACCACATCCATATCACTCGCACGCTAACGACATAGTACGCGAATACCTTCTGCAACGACTCCGCAACGTTCGGCTCCAATCCGGTTCACGCGACAACTTTATCATTGATGATGACGTGATTACGAATGGTACCTGGTCCAGCAGCTTTGGTGTTTCTGGCTCTGGGAACTATTTCGAAGGAAACAATATCCTTGTAAAAATACGTGGGACTGCAGAAGCCGAGTCTTCGAATCTTCCTCATCCTCCTCTTCCAGCTATCTTGTTCTCTGCACACTACGACTGTGTGTCAACAGCCTCAGGAGCGGTTGACGATGGAATCGGCGTCGTCACATTGCTTCAGCTTATACAATATTTTGCTTCACATCCTCCTCGACGGGATGTCCTCTTTAATATCAACAATGGTGAAGAAGATGGCTTGAACGGCGCTCATATTCTTCTTGAACATCCCTGGATCAAAAACACGTCTCATATCGAATACACCAACCTTTTCGGATCTACGTTCCTCAACCTCGAGGGGGCAGGTAGCGGTGGGCGCCCTTTGATGTTCCGCGCTACTGATCATGGGTCTGTTAAGAGCTGGAGAAACGTGGAGAACCCTCATGCCAATATCATATCTGCCGAAGCGTTCAATCTAGGTCTTATTCGCAGCTCAACAGATTATTCCGTTTACAATAGTCGATTTGCCGCACCCGACCCACTAGACTATGCAAAGTTTGCGCCTTTGAGAGGCTTGGACTTTGCCTTTTACCGGGGACGATCAAAGTATCATACAAAGTACGACGCGCTTCCTTATATAGAAGGCGGTGACAAGGCGTTGTGGGCCATGCTACAACCGGCATCTGCAGCTGGGATTGCTCTTGCCAACGATAACAATGTATCACCAGACGTCAACGAGAAGGCAGTGTATTTCGAGTGTACGTCTTCTGTCGATCTTCGGGACACCTTCGTTATTCTGAAATCTAATATTAGTGTTCAATTCCGTTCTCATCCTTTTGCGACTCGCCGATCTTCTTACAATCAATATCACCGCGCTCATCGCCGGTCCAATTGTTCTTATCCTACTCGCTGTATCCGAATCTGCGCTAGCTCGCTCGCGTGCAGCCAAAAGACAGCGGGCGACCTTCTCTCCGAGCGTAGTACATCCGGCGGAACTTGAAACAGAGTCGTCAGCCTCACAGATGCACTCTCCAGGTGGTACCGTCGTGGAAGACGCACCTTCCGAAAATGAAGAAGACGAGCCACACGAAAGTGAGACCGGATGGGCTAAAGCCAAACATCGATTCAATACGTTTTCTTGTGTTTTATGGAAGCACGGACGGTATTGGGTTGCTCTGATCATTGCTCTTGGGGCTCAAATCGCGTTGGTTTTTGGTTTTGTTAATCTTAGTCCCTTCGTAAGTTTTGAAAAAGAATGTCCGGAGCAGCGACTGATCCGTTGCACAGATCGTGTATGGATACCCTTCCATTCCAATACTATCTTCATTCGCCCTCTCAATCCTAGTCATAGCCCTCGTCTTGTCGCCTCCTCTTATTAGTGGTCACGCTCGAATTCTGGTTCTCTCTCGAGCTCCTATCACGACTAATGTTCCTGCGTGGGAATCTTTCCGCACGCTTCTTGTCCACAGCTACATCTTGTCTTGGCTCTTAGTTGTGTTGTCCACTATCAGTATCACACAGTTCGGACTAGGCGGTATATTGTATATGGCTAGTGCTTGTAATGGCCTCACATGGCTCGCTGCGGTGCTTTGTGGTATCGCAGGTTGTTTTGGTGTGGCAGAGACCACAGAGCTACGGCTCGTTCACGTCTTCAGGGATGATACTGATATCGCTGAGCAAGAGCAAGAAGAGACAGAAGTTAATGAGCGCACTCCTCTGGTTGGCCGAAAACATCTCCGCGTCATAAAGAACAAATCTAAATCAGGTGTCGACCCGGTCGAAAACCCACAGCCATATGTTTTGTGGATTCTTGTCCTCCTCATCTACGTTCCATTCCCTCTGATACTTATATCCCATATTGCCATTTTCCTCATCAATTCAGTCAGTCAGACGATGATTGATGGAAGTCCTGCCGTCACAGTCTACGCCGTGATATCTCTCATTTCACTTATTGCTTCTCTTCCTGCCATTCCGTTCATTGGCGCTCGGAGAGTGCATCGGTATCTGTTCTGGATATTGGGTCTCGTGTGGGTCGTCTGCATAGCATTGGCATGGATCCCCTGGTCCGGTCCTTGGGCTGGAAGTGTCGAAGGCTTCAAAGGCGGATTGTTCCCATTCTCGGAGGATGCGCCGCTGAAGGTGTTCTTCCAACAAAAGGTGGATCTTTCACCCTCAGGCACCGACGTTAATCCAACAGTAAGAATTGTCACTACCCTCACAGGCGCTACACCGTTTGTTCACGATTTGATACTTCCCTTGATTCCATCCTATCTACACTCTTTGGCTAGCGGAAGGCTAGTTGGGTGCTCAGATAACAATGTTGACGAGAGAAAAATCGGGTTGGCAAACTGCAATTGGGAAACTTATAATTCGAACACCACATCGTTTGATGCGTTGAATATGGTACCTGTCGCTACAGACACACTTGATGTGCATGCGCAAAAGAATCACTCATCTTGGGACTGGGCGTCTACCATAAACCCTTGGTTCGAGGCTCATGGTAAATCCATGTCTTTCAATGAGACTCCTGGTGCTCAATTTTCTATCACGGGAAATAACAGCCGAGCATGTAGGATATACTTTGATCAACCTGTTGAAAAGTTCCGTGTTCGGACTGTCGACGTGGAGAGCGATGTCGAGGTGAATGATGAAGTAGATGACGATGCGAGCTGGGGGGTCCAGCGTGGGTTTGAATCTGATCACTACAATATGTTGCGCCTTTGGACTCGGGCATGGGCCAAGAAGTTTGTCGTGGATGTGCAGTGGTCCAACCAATCTTCTTTCGCGGGGCAGCATGCTACAGAAACGAGTTCGAGCCAGAAACCCTTCTTCGAAGAAACAAGCACACATACAGGACGTGTAGCATGCGAGTGGGCAGAATACGAAAGCGGAATGGTCGGCATGGGTTTGTCCACTTCGCCTATACCATCATCTGGAGATCGTTTCTCGAGTGCAAAGATACCTGCGTTCGAGGAGGTGTTGACCTACCTACCCAAATGGGCAGTGGTCAGCAAGTTAACAGATGGGTTGGTTGAGGTTGAAGAAAGGTTTGTGTTGTGATGAATGCTTTCTTTCATGATTTTTTGGACTATCTCTGCACTGTCGGATCCTGGATAACTGTATTATCTGATATCTTTTGCTAATGTATGTATCATACTCACGTTCGTCACCTACAATATCTAGTAATTTCTGCATTTTGTCGGTCTATTAGTGGCAATTTGAACGACAACTGGTAGGGTTCGTCGCAGGAAGATGATGTCCGTAATGCGCATGTGAAAATAAGGCAAGTGTCGGGCCGCCTTGACCATGGACCGAATGCGGAACGCTTCCTCATTGGAGCCACGCTGAATATGTATGTAAGTGACGCGTTGAAACCGAACGACTTGTATGAGGGCTGTATCAAATACTGTTTGCTCTTTATCTTCCATTTCAAGGTCTCTACGGGCTACTAGACTGGCCCTACTTTCTCAAACAACACTCATCTGGTGAATTTGCTGCTCATTTTTCGGCAAAATCGACCTGATCAATCATTTGGATATTTCTTTTGCCTTTATAACCGCCATAGACGCTATCGAGGTAGTTCAAGCTCTTCTACAGCGATCCGAAGTCGGAAGGATTGATAGCGAGAAAAAACTTTTGTCGGCGACGCGGCGACGACTGGGAGAATACCTGGATAATTTTTTGTCTTCAAATTTTTATCATCTCTCATCCGAGTGAATACATCGGTAAAGCTTTCTTCCTGCCTCCAATCTTCTCTGATACGCGAAGTTCTGACTTCTATTGCTCTTATCTTTAGATATACATTCATCATGACAGATTGCGGTCGACCCGACTTCTGCGATTCTGCTTCTGCCACTTCATCCTCACTGGTCATCACGCCTGCTTCAGGCCACGATATTTCCGAGCCACATACCCAATCCGGTTTCATTGTTCACCGAATTCAGAAACCCAAGAACGTCGACCTGTCAAATTCACCACAACAACTTCGTCTCCAGCAGCTTCCACCGTATCTTCGATCTATCATGTATCAGCCTCAGAGTACAGGCAAAGGACCAATCCAGCCCCATGTCAGCAATCTTCCCAGAAGGAAACCAAGGCAACGATCTGTAGGAGCGTTCCCCAAAGGATCACCCACGTTGGCGACACTAGATGCCGTTAAAGCGTTATCGTCTGCCTCAATTCGCACGAATGCAGCCAGATCTCCTACACCTCCCCGTTCTTCCTCTTCTTCGTTTTCCGGCTCTCAACCTCGAGGCCCCGAAGCATATTTTGTTGACGACGAGCCATCACCCTCGGTCATTA